TTGCTAATAATTTTGTACTTCACATTGTTTAGTATTTCACATTGTTGGACTCACGATGGACAATTTAAGAAAAAAGGATCCAAATAGACGCCCCAGAACTAGACATATCATCTTTTTCATTCCACACATTCTTCTTCTTTGTTAGACACTGGTACCTACACTACCCACAATGCAACTCAACCACTGACACACCACTGGGAGATTTGGGTGCGTTATGTTAGTAGCAGCCAATGTAGCCTCGAGCTGAGATGAGGAGTGGGCTACAGAGGTCTGGTAAGCGCACTTCTTTCTATCACCACAACCCAAGTTTTCCCCCCCATTTTCAAACCTGTAGTCTTCTCAGCCAAGTGACACTGACTCAAGTGACTTGAGGCACTTTTTTCACATATGTAGTACTACACACAACCTGTGAACAGACTTTGATGTGTTGGATTGGTGGAGTTCCTCTTTCAGTAAAATTGTGTGTACAGAATTTTTAGATTGTGATATTTGTACTTGTTAAATGATCGGAGAACTTGGTCCACCACTGATACATGAATTCAACTGGGAATCTGATGGCACAGTGGTTTATGTTCTCTTTGTACTGGAACCAGCGACCCAATAACCCTGAGAATAGCAGCTGTCCAGCATCATCATTATAGTAACGAGCATTACTGTTCTCCAAACAGCGCTCATGTTCCAACTGCACTGTATAGATTATTGATATGAAATTGGTAACTCTCTTACGTTCATGCAGTGCAGCAAAGGTTTACAGGGAACTTGGTGTGACATTAAGCCTGAATGAGGAGGAGACTCATTTAGAGCAATCGAAGAGACACTGACGACAAATGTTTTCCAGACTCGGTTCCCCAAATCTACTGACCACATTCACTTTATATGACTAATGCTTTCCTGCTCTAAATTTAGTTAGTATCCCTCTCCAGATGATTGGGCTCCCATGTGTGCCACTGTGAGAGGAAATTGTCCAGAAATAGCCATCCCCACAACCCATCAATTACTTGAATATTTTTCTACCACAGAACAGTCAGTGCATTAGTACTAATACTGCTCAGATTATTTAATATCTTATAGCTAAATAAAGCATGATAAAACAGACTGAAACATCCACTAATCACTCACTAATCTCAAAACTGGATTACATGAGCATGCCACGGAGGGTAACTCCTACAAACTGGGTGCTACCACAGGCACATAGCCACAGCTTAATGTGATGCTAAAGTAATGACTGACATTACTTTTCTTGCTGCATTCATTCTCTTTTCACTTCATACTTTTCCGGTGGCACGGACACTGATCAGTATCTGACCTACCGTTTAAAGACCTGTTCTGATTATAAACATCTGTTGTTTGGCGTAGAAATGGCTGTGAGAGGAGGGAAACAGTCAAACACTATGAATCCACAAACACATGTGTGTTTCTTGTTTTCCTGTGTTGCATAACTACCTAAAGCCTCCTGAGGAAATGAGAAAACTAATCAAACTGTCCTGTTAGTCAGGTGATCTGGGCAGGTGTTCATAGAGACTATAGGAGCTTGGATCAGTTTTAATTTGAAACCAGAAAAAAATCAAAAGATGTAAAACACGATTTAAGGCCCTCGTTCATTCTGGCATTTATGAGTACAAAAGCAAACCTCCTTTGTAAATAAACCAATCTGAAGACATTTCAGTGCCACCTCATTTCAACTGCAAAAACTATCTATGACCAATTAGTTGACAGGACACATCATGTTACAGGTCGATTGTGCAAAAGAAGCATCATCAACAGCCTGCTATTACAACACAGGTTTCAAAATGCCTGAGTGTCTCACTCAGTAACACGTTTGTATTGTTAATCATACTCCCACAGATTCACCCTGCGGTAAATCATTCCCTCATGTTCATTATAAACAATAACACTACCTTGATTTAGCTGATGAAATGCTCAGTACGGAGTGGCAGCATGTTTGTCTCTGACTGAAATCCTGGTTAATTAAAGCCATAAGAAGGAATGCATTAGTATTAACGTTTTAACATATATCCGTCACAGAGGTCATTTTTCATTGTGTTACTTTAAAAGTAAAGGTAAGCGATTCTAATCCAATACAAGTCTTTTTGTCAAATTTAGCAAATATCACCTCAGGGTCTGCTAGCTGTCTGATCTGTGTGTGCGCTGAAAAATAATCTGGTGTTTGTCCACAGCCCTGGCTCTGTAAATGGGGGAAAAAAAACAGAGTGGCCCGCACCCCGCCACACAAAACTGTTCTAGCCGTTCCAGCCATGATGTGTGTCAGGTAAAAATGATTTGCCCACTGACATTCAGCTTACTTTCTAGTTTGCCAAGACATGCTGTTGTTGTGATGTTAGCTATGGTAGCAGGAGAGTTGTGAGTGTTGCTGTCTGGAGTTGGTCTGCTGGCTCTGGGACCGTCTCATCCTCTCTGCATGTTAGCAGCATATTAGCTTTTTACTAGAGGAATGAGTTCTTCCACTACTGCCAAGGAAAATAATGTTAGGCAAGGAAACCAATCAAATTACTATTTAAACAGGTGAATGAATAGCAAGGAGAGCAACAGAACAGAGTTCCTCTACAGCATTATAATAATGGCCCTATGCATATTTCTGCATCATTATAGGAACATAATTTGCATGTTGGTATAAATCCAATGTGCAGCAGTCTGAAAATTAGATCACAATTCAGTCAGTGTTAAATCTGCAGGGCGACACAGATCCAGTTATAAATCTGCAGCCTAAAGAACAATAGAGTAAAGAGAGAAGAGCTGTGGAGGAGCCGCAGTTGTAGTGAGCTTGAACCACAGCAGCCAGGTCATCAAGCTGCTCTCTGTTTCCATGTGTCAGCACAGGAGATGTAGTGCAGTGCCGTGCACACAGGCCAGGCCAGCACCAAAGCAGCCAACCAGCAAGCCAACAAGCAACATAAGCATGAGCCAGGAGAGATGATACTGAAGGCTCCAGACTCCAAATGACTGCTTCAGATTAATCAATATTGAAAATAATTGTTAGTTATAGCACTATGTTTTTCCCAAGGGGCCTAAATCATTCATAGACTCTACCCAAGTCAAACAGCCAGTCATTACTAAAATCATCTACATTTATCTCATCAATTAATTAAGATAACATTTATACGAGGTACAAGGTTGCACTTCTGGAACGGAAGGAGCATCTGAGGGCTTTTCAGGGCTAAACTGTTAAACCTGCAGAGTAACAATATGAGAGTGAAAAAACTCATTTTGCTCCTCTGATTATTCATCTCAGGTTTTCTTGCTGGATTACGCCACTACTGGAGTGGATCTGTTAGATTGCAAGAAAAAGACACAACTTATCAAAGGCTAATCTTGTTTTAGGTGTGAGGGAAATCAATCAGCCCGTCCTTTTTACGAAGCTGGACATGTGAGCCTGTTTATCCTGTTCTACAACCAGAAGTAGCAGACAATAATAAACCTGGACAGCAGCAGCCAGACAACCCGTACAGTGTAGTAAAAAGGTAAGGTGATATTGCTCCCCCTATTCTTGCTGGGGGTAAGAAGTGTAAGCACAACTCACAGACTGTTTTATCCTGACAACACTTTCCAGAGCCTATTAGCTTACCACTCTCTCATGCATTAATTTGTCAGCAGCAACAGCAGCAGCAGTGAGTGCAGCTGAAAAGGTTAGCTGGGATAAGCTGGGGTGTGCTCGCGTGTCACAAATGTAGCATGCATGTGATCGTAGGATCAGATAAAGGAGAAGTTCCGAGATTGAGGCACTTCAAAACAAGGTCACCAGGATGTGAGACTCAGATACCTGTTTCCATGTCTGTGAAATATGTGAGGTGCCTTTTGCATGGTGAGTGGATTTCACAGATAAGCCTGAGCGTAATCTCATTGTGTCTCAGTGGTAGGCTACACATCCTTAGTCATGAGGCAGTGAAGTCGTAACTACAATCAACAGAGTCTGATAATTTAATGAATATTTCCCCTCTGTTTAAAAAAAAAAAGATAAGCACCCGAGAGAGCTCTTCCATTTTATGACTAGTCAGCGGTAGCTTTAATCTAAAACTATGTCAGTTCTCTACTTTTTATTCCACTTGGGAGGTAAAGGATATGTGCCTGGCCCAGATTTAAAACATAGCCATTTAACTCAGTGGCTTTCAGTCCTGCTCCTCATGGTTTACAGCAGTGCTGGTTTTCTGTCTCTACTTATTAAAATTACTTGTAAATCACCCTCTGATTAGATGGATACAGTATACAACAGCTGGATTAACATTGAAAACCGCTGCTTTTAGCTGAGGAGACTAGTGAAGGGGCAGGTAGGGGGCTCAGTGTCTGTGGTGTTTATCAAGGACAGTTCAACAGACACACACAAGTGGACACAACATAGCCAGTCCACTGTTGTTCCACAAGAAAACAGCTCTTCATTAAAAATGACTCAATTTTTCATCCTGCAGTTTCATAGGCTACTTGAAGAGCCTGTAATCCTATTGACTGAGTTGTTTGGACATGACAGCTCATTATCCCGGCCTGCTGCTGCTTGAGGATGCCTGAATAACAGGCCTACATGCTCTGCAGTCGACTAGTGGATCAACATCTGTGGCGAAATGACACATCATCCCGTCTTTGCGGCACCAAAAATGTTCCGGCTTCCCACAGCAACACGGTTGTGTAACGACGAGGACGGGACGTGGAGGAGAGACAATATGGACATGGCACAGAGCAACATGCTATCATTTGGCAATAAAAAATGGTTTATAGGCTCATGAATGGCCGTGTTTCCGTTGGCATGCTGTACAACGGAATTTTACACTGAAATAAATGGAGCCGATGGATGAAGCCGCGGTTGACGGGGCTTCAATAACCAGGACCAACAGTGTTTTGCTCTGTGGGCCTACGGTGCAATGTTAGTTTTAACGCTGAATTGATACAAACTAATAAGCTCGTGGGGCCGTCAATAGGCTCTCCGCGATGACATGTATATTCCATTTAAAAATGAACACCTCAAATAAACAAATGAAAGCCTAAACACTTACCCGGACTCCTTTTCCATACTCAGAGCGGTGCGTTTATTGCCCCACACCAGTCCGTCGTAAATATCAAACGTAGCCTATGTTATCAGCTAATTAAAATCTTAATAGACCACCGAGGACAAATACAGAGACCGTCCAACGCAGTGCCATCCTCCTGCCGCCGATCAACCGGGAGGCAGCGCGGCGTCGCACAGCTGGGTCGCGAGCCTATGCACGCGGAGGGACTCGTGTGTGCGAACTGAATTAGAGGAAAAATATCTTTCCGTAGAGATCCGCTAAAATAGCCTAACCATGACAGTCGCGCGATGTACAACAGGGATGTGGTATAAACTGCGGCATCAATCATTACGAGTAAGTCACACAGAATGGCTGGTCCACTGTGCCTTCCGTTAAGCACGAGGACAGGCGCACCAATCAGGTTGCAGATTGACACATGATTGACACGTCACAAACCAATGGTCTGTTCAGACTGCGGGAAGGACAACAATGGCAGCCAATCAATGTAGAGCTTTATTCTCCGGGAAGGCGGGGCCCGCAGGTGTCACACAGCGGTCTCGGCTTTAACAGTAACTAAATGATCAATTATGGGACAAAAATGTTATATGTAGCAGTTTCAATCTCTGTGATTGATTGTACCATGGCAACCAACTGCAGCCTAATATTGTCAACTACAAGCGTCTGCATTCAGTAGGCTATTGCTATTTTCAGCGGTATTTATTTTCAAAGCAAAGCTGCTCTGTTGTAACTTCATTGTATTTTTTTTTGCTAGAATTGTGGGTTAGAAGAAGTAGCCTATCTGTTTTGTGTCTTATCACTGCACAGTGGTGAAGGAAGACAAGGTGGTATTCCAATACCACAGTGTAAAAAGAAAAAGAAAATAGCTATATATATATATATCATCAACAAAAAGTGTATTATATATGAGATTGTTGTTGCTGATTAAATAATGCTTTAGTAGCACTTTAATACTACTGTAGCCAGTTGGGAATTTAAATCTATAAAAATTCATCTTATTTTATAAGCTGATGTTTGTATGCATAGTTGTTCATGTACATAGTTACATGAACAAGGTTCTCACACATGTGCTGTCGTAATTTTCAAGAAGAGGTTGTCAAAGCAGCATTTTGAGAAGGAAAACACTGAAGCCACTGTCACCACTTCTAGTCCTTGGATCTCTGGCCAAGACAGACTACTTTCTAAATTAGATTAGATTACATTGTTTTATTAGCCACAAATAAATAAATAAAAGAGCCTGGTAACTTAAAAACTGTGTGAAAGAAAGTGTGTTGGACAAAATGATTAATGCTTGCCAGACTCTATTAGCATTAATACTGTTTGTACTCTGTGGGAAAGTAGTGTTCCCAGGTTTAAAGCTTAGACTGGACATGGGTTTCAGATCTCAAGTACCCATGTTACCACACAAGCAGTATTGTTAAAGAAAGAAAGTCATTCTTATCTGTACTTTTTTTTAATTAGGCTGAATTTGAATTGTAAATGGAGGTTTAATCATTTGTCATTTGGTAAGAGAGCATCTTTTAATCTAGGGTCTGATTAGATCCCTATACCGTAGCTTTATACCCCATGAGGCCTTGAGGGATGCTCTCAGCCTTTACACTGAGTGTCCCCATTTAACAAAACATGAGCACGCTTTGAATTAACACATTTAATGCCATCTGTCATCTGGCCAAATGTCTTTACTTTATTGCCATCAAGTGGACAAATTGGATAGTGCAGCTCCCCAAGTCTTCTGACAAGCAAATGCTGCCACAGCTCAGTGCTTTAAGGGGAATTTCATACTGATTAGATTGACAGTGTAATATCTTACATGATCTTGGCACAATAATTTATGATTCTTCCTTATAACACAGCCTATTATAAGACAAAAGGATCAAATACAGATACAGATTCCCACCAGAATGTTGTCTGTACTATATTACAAAAGCAGCAGGAACAATTTGGTCACTAAAAACGTATTACCTCAAACAAATGCTACAGAAATAAAGATGAATATTTCATTATATATTACAGCTCTGACTATGATATTCATAGGCCCCGGCCCAATTCCAATGTCCCCCCTCACAGACTCACAGGCCCAATCCCAGTGTCCCCCCTAAGCCCTGAACCTTCACAGACTTCACTGATGTCACTTGGAAAGTGATTGAGTTTAAGAGGCTACAAGGGCTCAAAATGCTGTAAACGGGAATGGGACAGCCCTTTGCCACTTTATCACGTTACCTTGAGGACGCTGAAACACGTTGCACACTTTTTATTTTATGTTTTTGCCTTGTTTTTACGTCCTTCAGGCGATGGCCCTACAGAGTGGAGGAGAGGTAGCCTAAATGTCAATATATATTTGTAATTAATCAATACACTATTGTTGGTCAAATAGCATCATTAAGCAAAAACTAAAATAAATTGTTGAATAAACTAAGTGTGTAATAAGGTGATTGCATTCCTCTGACTTCATGTGTTCTATGCACCATCTTAAGTTAAGAAAACTTTCAACAATATTAACATCAGCGTAGGTGTCGATTCTTGTTTCTTTACAGTTTTCTACTTCTCTTAAAATGCGGATTTGCCGTGATACTTCTCTCTCTTCCGAGCTTCCCCTGGGGCGAGTTCAATCTCAAAACATTTTGCACCGGTTTGCAACGTTTTCTGATTGAACGACATGTTTACTCGCAACATTGCGCAACGTTCTGCAACGGGCGCCCCTGGGGCGAGTTCAGCGCAGACAAAACGTAGCAATACGTTTTTTTCAACAGAAACGGTGGTTCCCTGAACACCCTGCTGTGTAGGCAAGCGCAGAGAATTTTCCTGGCTTTTTAACACCGTTGTGTTAACAAACTTTTCGCAGCTGATTGGGTAACACCTGAGACACGCCCACCAAACGGGAAAAAACATACCTTGAAGCCCATTTCAGAACGTTGCAAGGAAACATGTCTTTCAATCCGAAAATGTTGCAAACCGGTGCAAAACGTTTTGAGATTGAACTCGCCCCTGGTAACCCCCGTGTTTTACGTCATACCGCTATGAACTGTGGGCAATTCCCTCAGCCAAAGTCTGCAGAAATACGCTTGACGATTTGACAATGGGACAGCTCTAAACCCTCACGGACTTCCCGGGAAGAGTCTGTGAGTCTGTGAGGGGAAACATTGGGCCCAATGTCAGCTGGGATAGTTCTGGTCATTTTCTTAAAGAAATATTCGACACAAACACAAAATGAATGACAAATGCTTTCAGTTTCGTTATTGCATAAAACACACTTTTCCTCAACATCAATCCTGAATCTTAATACCACTGTTGTTTATTTGATACATGTATTATAGCAGTGAGTGCAGCGGTAACGTCAGATCCCATTTATGCAGGGGAGAGAGGGTAGTTCGTCCGAAAGTTGTCGCTGTATTTAAACCCTACGTGGGTTAGGGAGCTCGATTTGGCCTGGAGGGTGACTTCGACCAGAGTTCACTCAAGTGCGCGAGGGCTCTCTCGCGGACATTTTGAGCCCTTTATAGACCCTTTTCGTAAGTCCGCATTTCTGAAGACTTTGGCTGAGGGAATTGCTCACAGTTCATAGCGGTATGACGTGAAACAGGGGGGTTACCGGGGGCTGGTTGAATCTCAAAACGTTTTGCACCGGTTTGCAACGTTTTCAGATTGAACGGCATGTTTGCTTGAAACGTTGCGCAACGTTCTGCAATGGGCTTATGTTTTCTCCCGTTTGGTGGGCGTGTCTCATGTGTTACCCAATCAACTGCAACAAGTTTGTTAACACAACGGCGTTAAAAAGCCAGGAAAACGCAGTGCGCTTGCGTATACAACAGGGTGTTCAGGGGACCACCGTTTCCGTGGAAAAAAACGTTTTGCTACGTCTGCGCTGAACTCGCCTCAGGGGAAGCCCGGAAGCGAGAGAAATATCACGGCAAATCCGCATTATAAGAGAAGAAGAAAACAGTAAACAAACAAGCATCAACACCTATGCTGATGTTAAAAGTGTTGAAAGTTTTCTTAACTTAAGATGGTGCATAGAACACATGAATTCAGAGGAATGCAATAGCCTTATTACACACTTAAGTTTATTCAAGTATTTATTTTAGTTTTTGCTTAGTGATGTTTTTTTGACCCATAATAGTGTATTAATGATTATTAACAAATATATATTGACATTTAGGCTACCTCTCCTCCACTCTGTAGGGCGATCGCCTGCAGGAACATAAAATAACAAGTGTGCAATGTGTTTCGGCGTCATCAAGGTAATAAAGTGGCAAAGTGCTGTCCCGTTCCTGTTTACAGCATTTTGAGCCCTTGCAGCCTCTTGCACTCAATCACTTTCCAAGTGACTCAGTAAAGTCTGTGAGGGTTCAGGGCTTAGGGGGGACATTGGGATTGGGTCATGCTCATTGTAAAGAAAACTATTTGATAGATATGCCAAACTATTAGACAAATTGGAATTGTGACCTGATGATGGCACTAGATAAAGTCAAGAGGATTACCAAAGTTCAAAAAGACCATGAATGGCTGCACCGAATCATATGGTAATCTATCCAGTAGTTGTCTAGACATTTCACTCTCAACCAGAAATGTCAGCCTGCTGGTGGCACTAGGTGAAAAGTCAGGGGATCATTACCAAGGCACCACAGATATCTGAACCAAATGTCATGGTAATCATCCATTACAGGTGCTGGTCATATAATTAGAATATCATCAAAAAGTTGATTTATTTCAGTAATTCCATTCAAAAAGTGAAACTTGGATATTCATTCATTACACACAGACTGATATATTTCAAATGTTTATTTCATTTAATTGTGATGATTAAAACTGACAACTAATGAAAATCCCAAATTCAGTATCCCCGAAATTAGAATATTACTTAAGACCAATACAAAAAAAGGATTTTTATGTGAAATGTTGGCCAACTGAAGTATGAACATGAAAAGTATGAGCATGTACAGCACTCAATACTTAGTTGGGGCTCCTTGTCTATCAGTCTGTGGCACTGCTCAGGTGTTATGAGAGCCCAGGTTGCTCTGATAGTGGCCTTCAGCTCTTCTGCATTGTTGGGTCTGGCGTATCGCATCTTCCTCTTCACAATACCCCATAGATTTTCTATAGGGTTAAGGTCAGGCGAGTTTGCTGGCCAATTAAGAACAGGGATACCATGGTCCTTAAACCAGGTACTGGTAGCTTTGGCACTGTGTGCAGGTGCCAAGTCCTGTTGGAAAATGAAATCTGCATCTCCATAAAGTTGGTCAGCAGCAGGAAGCATGAAGTGCTCTAAAACTTCCTGGTAGACGGCTGCGTTGACCTTGGACCTCAGAAAACACAGTGGACCAACACCAGCAGATGACATGGCACCCCAAACCATCACTGACTGTGGAAACTTTACACTGGACTTCAAGCAATGTGGATTCTGTGCCTCTCCTCTCTTCCTCCAGACTCTGGGACCTTGATTTCCAAAGAAAATGCAAAATTTACTTTCATCAGAGAACATAACTTTGGACCACTCAGCAGCAGTCCAGTCCTTTTTGTCTTTAGCCCAGGTGAGACGCTTCTGAAGCTGTGTCTTGTTCAAGAGTGGCTTGACACAAGGAATGCGACAGCTGAAACCCATGTCTTGCATACGTCTATGCGTGGTGGTTCTTGAAGCACTGACTCCAGCTGCAGTCCACTCTTTGTGAATCTCCCCCACATTTTTGAATGGGTTTTGTTTCAGAATCCTCTCCAGGATGCATTTATCCCTATTGCTTGTACACGTTTTTCTACCACATCTTTTCCTTCCCTTTGCCTCTCTATTAATGTGCTTGGACACAGAGCTCTGTGAACAGCCAGCCTCTTTAGCAATGACCTTTTGTGTCTTGCCCTCCTTGTGCAAGGTGTCAATGGTCGTCTTTTGGACAGCTGTCAAGTCAGCAGTCTTCCCCATGATTGTGTAGCCTACAGAACTAGACTGCGAGACCATTTAAAGGCCCTTGCCGGTGTTTTGAGTTAATTAGCTGATTAGAGTGTGGCACCAGGTGTCTTCAATATTGAACCTTTTCACAATATTCAAATTTTCTGAGATACTGATTTTGGGGTTTCATTAGTTGTCAGTTATAATCATCACAATTAAAAGGAATGAACACTTGAAATATATCAGTCTGTGTGGAATGAATGTATACATTATACAAGTTTCACTTTTTGAATGGAATTACTGAAATAAACCAACTTTTTGATGATATTCTAATTATATGACCAGCACCTGTAGCTGTTGAGATATTTCACTCTGGACCAAAGTGGTGGACCCACTTTGTATCCATTACCTTCCCAGGCTGCCTTCCGCACAGACCTCTCTGTACTGCTAGACCATGTTGGGACACGAAAGGAGTCCCTCAGCTTCATTAGGGCTTTGGGGGGACATTGGGATTGGGCCCTAGTGGGCTAGTGACACATTCTTCATCCGGTCGGCTGATGCCTTCAGGTGTTCGCTCACTCACACACTCATTCATTGTCAACCGCTTTTGTACAGTGGATGGTGCAGGGCAGGTGTTATCGCAAATAACGTTATTATATATAGACGAATTTGGACCCTGTTACCGCATTCCATGTTGTATAAAATAAAACAACAGCGTCTTAATAATTTGATTAATTTTGTTGCTATGGAGGAAAACCACATTGTAATTAGCGTTACAGCCTGTGGTTCTAGCACTGCATCGAAAGTGAAACTTTTCTGAGGTGTACCTGAACACACCATACGTGTGTGCTCTGAATGTTTGCTAGCTCGTTTGTATGACGCACATTGATATCGGCAGGACATAAAATATCACAGCAAGGTAATGTTGCAGTGGTTTCGTACTTTCACGCCAAATCTGCCAGATAGTAGATATATTTAATGGTTATTACTTGATAAATGCTTTAAATACTTTCTTACAGCTGCTATAGTTAAGGCTGTAAAATTAGCTTCTGTGGCTAGCATGCTAGAAGCATTAACGTTAGCTTCGTTTTGACTTTGCCAATTACCTGTAGCTATCTATTTAACGTTATAGTGAGTAACTTTGTTTTCTAACCTTTTGCTCACTATACAATACCATATATCTAACGGCGTGATGAAGAAGATGAGAAGTTAGAAACGTATCTAGAATGATTGTGTGAAAATGAGTCCCGTTTAACTGTTAGTTGCTAGCTTGGTCGCTAGCCGGTTTGAATGAACAAGAAAGAAGACTCCATTGTTGATGTGTGTAACGTTACTGCCTCTGCCGGGTCACACTGGATCGTTTTGACTCAGCCGAATTTTACTAGCTAAACGGATGTTGGTCGTTCAAGACTTCATACACACAGGCTACTGTTAGCATCTTCCGTACAATAACGTTAATAAATAGTTTTTTATACGGGGTACGGCTGCGGCCTGCTAACCTTTTTGCTAATTAAGCTAATATCCGAGACAGCTGATTAGGTTTCGGGTCATTGTAGCGTCAAGCTACTATCACCATACAACTACGTATATATGTAATACAGGTAACTAGATATTAGACGCTTTCTGATTATATTTATTTATCTAAAAATATTTACTTGAATTGTAATATCATCTGGCCTTTATCTCAAATTAGATATTGCACATTAAAGGCGACACAGACAATTGTTTGAGAAAGTTGTGAGATATATATTTCCTTATTTACATGCTGTCCATACAGATGGCTGAGACCGACGTTGATAATGAACTTCTGGACTATGAGGAAGATGAGGAGCCCCAGGGAGCCCCTGAGAGTGGGACCCCAGCAAACAAGAAGGAGGTGAAGGGGTCTTATGTATCCATCCACAGCTCGGGCTTCAGAGACTTTCTCCTCAAACCAGAGCTGCTTCGTGCCATTGTAGACTGTGGTTTTGAGCATCCCTCAGAAGGTGAATAGCAGTTTTGGGTTTTCTTATGTCTGTATCATATCCTGATTTTATGAGTGAATCAACGGGCATTTTAAAAAATTTCACTCACTTATGATTACCATTTGTTTTATCTTCAGTCCAACATGAGTGTATTCCCCAAGCAATCCTTGGCATGGACATCCTGTGTCAGGCCAAGTCGGGAATGGGAAAGACAGCAGTGTTTGTACTGGCCACCCTGCAGCAGATAGAACCAGTGGATGGTCAGGTGAGTTGGTCATTATTTGTTTTTGCTTGTCTTTTATGTTAACAGTCATTAAGCCTCTTTTTTTATAGTTTTGTACACAGATTAGGTCGTTTTTACACTAATATGATTTTGTCATGTAAATCTTATGACCCCTGGGTTATTTTCTGGTAGATGTCTGTTCTGTGCTTACTTCTCAGACCTGAGGCCTCATGCAGATGCACTCAAAAGTGCATATTACCAATGTACATGCATTGAATGTAAGATAAAAAATGCAAATGCCATGTCCCTACATAAAGTCAGTATTAGGGAACACACAATTGAAAGGTGTTTTGCTGTTCATGTTTATGGAACCATGAGTAAAGTAAAATTTTAGAGAGAGCCAAGAGCAAAACTTCAATACAGTTCATTCACTTATCAAATGTCATGTCAAAGAATTTAAGTTTAAAAGTGCTTTTTTTCTGAATTTGACATGTAGCCTATAGGTGTGCTGGAATGCAGCAGCCTGTTTACCTGGTTCAACAACAGCAGCAGCAGCTTTATTCATTCTGTGTCTGCTTAATTGTGTGGAAATCACGTCTGACAGGTCTGTCAATAACAGAAGCCAAGTGCCTGTAAATAGCATGGGATATAATTTGATATGACCATTTAATACAATTTTCAGAAGTAATGCCACTCAATTTGTTTTAGTAGTGGGCCACTATGATCAAAAACATAGCTCTCAGCATCAACTGGTAAAGTTTGATCTTTTTGTCATTTTTGCCTGAGAACTCCTCGTTACTCTTGTTTTCATTTTATGCTTAACAGTAGAGAGATGACAGTAAATGTGAGGAGATGGAGAGGCATGACATGCAACAAAGGTTCCTGGGTGAACTGAACCAGGGACGTGCTTCATGGCCTAATCCCTAGGCCAATGGGGCTGCCCCTGAAATCTCTATTTAAATAAAAAAATATTATTTAATGCCATTCAAGTCTTAAATCAGGTATTATGATGGAACTGTGTAATATTATGAACCTTTGAAATAACATTTTCAAACGGCAATGAAATATTTAGTTAGTAGTTACATTAGTTAAAAGTCACCAAGATCCTGTCAAATCAATGTAATCAAAGAGCAGTACAACAGGTTACCTGGCATTACAAAAGTACAAGATGCACTACATTAGGACTAAGCAGTTAATAAGACTAATGCCCTCATTTCCTGTATTCCAGGTGTCTGTCCTTGTAATGTGCCACACACGAGAGTTGGCCTTCCAGATCAGCAAAGAGTATGAGCGCTTCTCCAAGTACATGCCCACTGTCAAGGTGTCTGTGTTCTTTGGTGGCCTGGCCATCAAAAAAGACGAGGAAGTCCTGAAGAAGAACTGCCCTCACATTGTCGTAGGAACTCCAGGACGTACCCTGGCCCTCATCCACAACAAGTCCCTCAACTTGAAGAACATTAAACACTTTGTGCTTGACGAGTGCGATAAGATGCTGGAGCAGCTGGGTGAGTAAGAGTAACAGAAGTGTTTTTATAGTGGACTGTTGAGAAACGAGTTGCTTTGTTGAAGGACTGTGGTCAGTATGTGAAACAGGGAATCCAGTTGACACAAGTATTGTTTTGTGAATTCATATCTCAATAAATGGTGTTGCTAGAAATTTTGCGCCTCTTTAAAAATTTCCGTGTTTCACAGATGTGATCAGATCTTCATTCAAGTCCTAAAACTATATAAAAGGACCCAGTTAAACAAATAATACAAAAAAAACAGAATTTACAAAACATTTATTTATATTGCAAAATTATACAATATTAAATGTCTCTGTTTGAAAAAGTTTGTGAATCTCCAGAATTCTGTTAATTTTAAGGTGTAATTGGAGTCAGGTGTTTCAGTCAATTGGATGACATTCAGGTGTGAGTTTTGCTGCCGCTGCCCTGTTGAACAAATATAAACCAGGGTCGGTAATGTCAAAGCCTGGTCTTCACCAGAGGTTTGTGGAGGTGTGCCATGCCTTGAACAAAGGAGATCTATGGTGCTCAGACACGAGGTTGTTGATAGTCAAGGCTGAAAAGGTTACGAAACCATCTCTAAAATATTTGGCTGTCAGGCAGATACAGTACAAACTGAGGAAATTTAACACCAGTGCTACTCTCCCCAGGAGTGGTCATCTAACAGAAATCACTCAGAAGAACATTGCTGGTTGTCTAATGTTTACTAAAGGCCATATGGATGAACCAGATGGGACTAAACAGTTTTCAAATCAGGAGGTGCAATATTTGCTAAAGGCGATATTTTAAATTAAATATTGTTATGCTACAAAGATGTCCTGGTCTACACGCTATATTCTACAGATGTAAGAAAACATCTTTGTTTGGTACAGAGATCCCTGCAAAAATCACACTAAAATTATTTTAATGTCTTTCAATGAAAATAAGAATAACATTGTAAAAATCATCATTCCCTCCAGTATCGCAAATCATAATCGCAATTGCAATATCAGTCAAAATAATTGCAATTAGATCTTTTTTCAAAATCATTCAGCGCTGCTACCAAAGAATGGTTTAAAAAAACAAAAAAAAAACAGAAAGAAATTAATGTTTTGGAATGGCCAAGTCCAAGACCAATAGAAATGTGGTGGAAAGACCTGAAGAGAGCAGTTCATGCAAGTTTTGAAGGAGGAATGAGCCAAAAAATGGGTCAGTCTGTTTGTTGGACTGATCAGTAGTTCAGCTCAAGGAGGTCACACCAGGTTCACATACTTTTTATTGAAGAAAGCCAATTAATGTTTGTTAACTTAAACACAAAATTTTATTTTTATTTATAACTGGGTCGTCTTCGTGTATTAGGACATTTGAGATCACATTCATGCAGAAATACAGAAACTTCTAGAAGATTCCCACACTGTGTAATAGTGTTGTGTCAATTTAGTAATCATTAATCTGCATTTTTGTTTATTCAATAATAAACACAAGATAAAAAAAAAAAAGAAATAATGACTGGTTATAATGTTTATTTTTTGTAGACAAATAAGAAACAAACTGCAATTAATGTAATTTTGGGAGTGCTGCTGTTTTTTTGTTTTTTTCTGACAGACATGAGGCGTGATGTCCAGGAAATCTTCAGGCTGACACCTCATGAGAAGCAGGTTATGATGTTCAGTGCAACGCTAAGCAAGGAGATCCGCCCTGTTTGCCGCAAGTTCATGCAGGATGTGAGTTGTCACCAGGATTTACTGATGTGTTTGAAGCTGAACCTACTCTGTGCTTCATTCAGCTAAATGGAAACATCTTTTAGAGTTTATTTTTTTTATTTTTTTTATTAGCAGAGATGCAACGAGCTGCAAGCTGAGATTGCGTCTTACAATATTAATTAAATCTCATTTATAAGCAATTATGTTAATGAAAATTGATACATCTCTGTGAGTAGAACTGTTTTCATTGCCTTCTTTGTCTTTCTACAACAGGAATGTTGATTCATTCATCCTATCGGTCAAAGACGTTCAGATGTGCTGTTAATTTCCAAGCAGCTCAGCTATTGTAAAAATTCAGTCTAACCGTTCTTTATAACTTGGCATTTTAATGTGTGCTGGGATCAGTGAGCTAGCCGTAAATGTTTTTCTCCTTTTTTATTTATGTAGACGTTGCTATAAAATTTAGTTAAACCATTGGATAGATAAAGGTTAAACGGCTGTAAAACCTTGTTGTTCACTGAGATTAGGGCTTGTTAAGATTTTCTTTGTTATTCTTGTTACGTGTAAACAAGTGAGATATTTTAGGTAGTTCAGTCCTTGTTGCGAAGTCCCTTGTAGCTTTGCCCACTTGTGGCTGTCAGTGTCATAAGTGGCCATGTCAGAGGGGCAAAATGATCCTCCTTGGTAGATTTAGCTTGGTCAGAACAGTCGGTCCTCCTGGCCCTGCTGCAGTCCAGGGGAACAGGTCAGGTTCATTAGCAAAATGCGGTGCAAAGATTCAGAAAATTGAATGGAGTCGTAGATCTGTCAAATGTAGAGCTCATCATTATGGCAAAAATCATTATCCCGATTACTTTGGTCAATATTGAGATCACAATTATTTAACATTATTACTCATTGACTTCGAAAACATTGTGCATTTATTAATTAAAAAAAATAAAAAATCTGATGACCTGCCCATCCCTAACAATGGAAACTTCAGATTTTATGACTTCTCTGACAAAGTGGTTCATGTTGTCAGGGCTTTTCCCCTCACTTAATTTTCTTCATTCACGCTTGTTATGTTTGTGATGTGGTCTGCAGAGAGGTATGTGTGTGAGAGAGACAGACTAATATTTGGCTTCCCTTTGTTGCTGTGTAGCCCATGGAAGTGTTTGTGGATGACGAGACCAAGCTGACACTCCATGGTTTACAGCAATATTACTGCAAGTTGAAGGACAGTGAGAAGAACCGAAAGCTCTTTGACCTGCTCGATGTTCTCGAGTTCAACCAGGTATAACTGGCACTCATTTATGAGATACTGAATCAGATATGCACATCTTTATTATAGTATATAAAGTATTTGTGAAAGGTTTTAATATTAAGAACTATTTGTTCTTCTAGTTGTTCTGTCACTTTATCCTCTAGAGGGAGACATTTATGTTGATTTCAGCCTGTCTGTATGTCATTGCTCTCTTTGCCATTCCCAGCAAAAATATGCAAAGCTCTTCTTTTGGTTCCCGTTAGGTGGTGATCTTTGTTAAGTCAGTGAATCGCTGTGTGGCTCTGTCCCAGCTGCTGGTGGAGCAGAATTTCCCGGCCATCGCCATCCACAGAGGCATGGCACAAGAGGAGCGGTAGGTGCTGCTGGTTTATTTCCCTTTATGATTCTTGTATTTTTGTTCCCACTTGACAGTAGCTTTCCCAAGTTGAATGTCTTAAGCATGAAAAATGTAAAAAACAGAACATCACTGTGCAGTAATTTGTTTTAAGGCTAGAGACTATAAATGGTAACATTAAAATGTAAGTGTGAAACTAATTAAAAGGTGAGGAATATTTTAACCAGATGTGTGGGAAATGATTGCCAATCTCTCAATGGTTGACAGGAGAGGTTTATGTTCTTAGTCTCCCTCACTTTGGAATATCATCTCATAGTCATTTTCCTGATGTTGCTCATCCGACCCCCCCCCCCAGGTTATCCCGGTACCAGCAGTTTAAAGACTTCCAGCGGCGGATACTGGTTGCAACCAACCTGTTTGGCCGAGGCATGGACATCGAGCGAGTCAACATCGTCTTTAACTACGACATGCCAGAAGATTCTGACACATACCTTCACAGAGTCAGTCCAGCTATAATATAATTGTTGTCTGTATATCTTTAGTTGCAAAACAAACAAATAACAAAGGGGCTGTAGCTTGTACCACATTTACCAAAACACTCTGATTTGTTTTATAAATTGAGGGTAAAAAGGCACAGGGACCTGCTGTAAAGGTTGTTTAGTCAGTGTTTTATAATCAGTGAATTGTTCATTTTAAATCTTAATAGAAATTAGTAGTAGTCAGCAATACTTTAAAACTTTTTATAAAATTCATGGTATTCTTGTTTTCCTTCAAGCAAAGCCTGTTTTGAGCCCCTCATCTTTCTCTGTACCTCAGGTGGCCCGTGCTGGCAGGTTTGGGACCAAAGGCCCTGGCTGTCACATTTGTGTCAGACGAGACAAGACGCCAAGATCCTCAATGACGTCCAAGACCGCTTCGAGGTCAACGTAGCAGAGCTCCCAGAGGAGATTGATATCTCCTCCTACAGTAAGTTCTGTAGCTGCTCATTCTTGCCAGATGATGCCCACTTTCAGTAATGTCTGTGTATAATATGTATGTACGTCACCTTCTCCTAATCTCACATCTTAAAAACTTTCCTATTTCTCTTCGCAGTTGAACAGGCCAGATGAGTCTGAAGTGTCTTTCCAGTGAAGATTGTGTGTGACGCTTGGTGTTGCTGTATTTTGGTGGAGGGGAAAAAAACCCCTCAGCATTTACTTTAAAGTCCCCCTCCAACCAGAAATGTTGGCAAGTTCATAATGATACATTTGTTTATTTTATCAGGTGTTTGCTTGTTTTAGTGCAGAATTTCCAAAACCTTTCCCAGAGTACCCCTGGTCCTGTATGTTGTAGAGCTCCATTACAGCTGATCTAAGTAATCAGCTTGTTATTAAGCAGCTTCAGGTTGAGGAGTGACCATTTGAATCAGCTGTGTTGGAGCAGGGAGACATCTTAACCAGAGTAAGGGTACTCCAGGAAAGGGCTGGGAAACCCTGTTAGTGTTTTCCTTGTTAACGCCATGGATATATTTTGGGTTGAAGAAATAAAGTTTTTATACCTTATTTATGGAGTTGGATTTAATTTTGCACGTATTTTAAACATTTAAATAGGTCATATTACATTGAAGAGACACAACAGTATCAAAATAGAAACTTTGTGTAGTTAATTATTCTCACAAGCAGAGGGTGCTATCATCATAAGTGGAAGACTGTTTTCCCAAACACAGTTTGAAACTTTGGTTAAAATAAAGTCTTGCATGAAACTTGAGCAGTTTCATCACACAGATGGACCAACAAACACTTGTGACAGCTACACCGTAGTGTCTTAATCCACAGAAGTGTATTCATGTGACAAAACAAACTGGGATTCAAATAAAGAAAATATTTACAGAATACAGTGTGATTCAAAATAAATTCTCAAATACAGGTTTGTGTAAGATATTTCTCTAAGCTGCATTTAAATCACAAACAAGAAATCAGTTGGCATTGGTCCAGTCCTCACTGAACGCTTGTCAGTTCCAGATAGCGTTCCTTATCATCAGAACGGTGTGTAAATGTACTTTCAGATGGCTTGTCGTGTCAGCGTGCCAAAAAGCACAATCAATGGAGTCTGTCTTATGTTCATAACATGCTGTTCTGATTTGATATGTCTTGAATTAAAATCATCTTGTACATATTTTGCTTTCTACTCTGAAGTTTTCTAAATAAAGCTACAAATGTTCAGTGCTAAACACAAAGTGCTTTGTTGCTCATTCCCCCGCTCAGGCAGAGGGTCTCAAAAAGGGGAAAAAAAAAATCCTCCAAACCTGAACCAGCAATCAGTCCAGAGTGGAGGAGGTCCATATGCACTTCAGGGCTCTAATTTAGCTCCCACGTCTGAACAGGAGCAGGCAAGTCCACTCTGGTCACAATATTATTACAATAAGGGTTGTCTTTATGACCGTATAAAACTGAGGCGGCCCTTTCTGCCTACAGTTTGGCCGTCAGGTGGGTGCCTGAAGTCCTCACTCACTTGGAACCAGGTGAGAAAAATGGCCCCTTGTCTTTCTTTATCAAGAAAGTCATCCTCATCACATTCAAATAAATAAGAGTTTAAACCCCACCTCAGTACTAGTCTATGAACTTGTGTGTATCTCCGTACATCCAGTGCTGTGGAGGGAGTGCCACCTCATTAAGGTGGCCGCAGTCATCGCTGCATTTACATGACTGGATAAACATGGCCGACCTCTGGAAGTGCTCGCCGTCCGGGCAGACAAAGATCACGGGTGCAGTACGTGTGCGGCGTGGTGAGCAGCACCGACCGTCTGTACACATGCCGCAGTAGTTGGGCCGGTAGAGGCGAACACTCAGACATTCTCCATAGGACAGCCGGGTGGGCTCTGGGGCTTTCTGGGCTGGAGAGCACTTCTTCCCTTTCTATGGTTGGATGAGAAGAGAAAACAGATGAGTGTTGTTCCCAATTGACTTCAGTAGCAAAATTCACCAAAACAAAGTGAAAAAAAAAAAAAGCTTTGACTTTTATCTGCCGTGTCCTTTTACATAACAGCAGATTTAAGCGGCTTTGCACTCAAACTCATTAGCGTCACATTAAGAGGGCCACACTTTATCTTGTTATGCCTAAACAGAGATTGAGAGAGAGGGATTAGTTTCTGATTTAAGTGATTAATTTTAAAGATTAAAATGTTTATTTAACATTTGAGTGTCCTTTTCTGTCAAAACACACTAACACCTGTGATCATTGTTGGCTCCAGAGATTTTAACTCAGAGCAGAGAAAAGAGCTCTTAGTGTGTGCCCAACATGTAGGATTAATATAGACACACCACTTCCCTGGACTCTGGGTACACAGACGGGGCCTAGCTATGGACAGTTGCTTGGCAGGAATGCCGGGGGTGGGGGACTATATTTAAAAAGGCGCCTGCCTGCCACCAAAACACCGCTGAGTAAATCAGGACTGCCCAGTTCCCACTGGATATGGCTTCCCGAAAGTACCGCTAAGATAATCTCTGTTCTTAAGATTGGGATAAAGATGGCTTTAGCACTAACAGCATATTTACTCAGGGCCAAAGCATCTAAATTTTCATTCTTTGCAGCACAGATTTGAGGTGTTCAATCTCGGCTCTTTAGTTTGAAGGGGGGGGAGAAGGAAGCAGAACAAAAATGAGCAGGTATTGTTTTCTCCTGCGTAGTCAGACATGGACAGATAAGAGGGGAAATAATGCCTTATTTATAAGTGTTATCACAAGGCATTTGGGTTTCACTGTGCGAGGGATAAGATGTCGTGATAAGAAGCTATCTTGGCAGTAATGAGGATCTTCGACCTATGCTCTCCTTTACTTCAAGTCAAGTTCACTTCACCTTGGCTGGGATGGTCAGGCTGTGGCATGGTCGTATGGTACAGATTCTCGTCTCTCTCTCCAGCTTGCACTCAGGGTTCTTGTTGGTGATACGAGAAGAAACGCCCATCCCACAGCTGCGAGAGCACTGGGACCAGTCAGTCGTCTGGACCGGACACTTCTTGTCCCTGAGCTGGTTCCACACTGAGGACCGTCAGAGACATGAGGGAGGGTGGAAGGCAGGGAGAAAAAGAAAAAGAAAAAGAATACGCATCAAGTTGTGGTAGTCATAAAGCTGAGGGGATCAAAAGGATACAAAAGCAAAAACTAAATACATTTTCTGCTACAGTATTATATTTATTTTTCCAGATTTTCAAGTGATCTTGGCCTTTTAGCAATGTCTGTCTCTCAGTCGGTCCACTACTTAAGTCCAGACTGAAATATCTCAATATATTGAAGGGATTATCAAGAAATTTGGTCATTCATGTCCCCTTCAAGATGAATAACCTGACATCTAATCTAGCATCAATATCAGGTCAAATCTTTAAAATGTGTTAAATACTTTGGCTTATAACCAAATGCCTGCAAAACTACTGACATTCCCATCAGCCACAGTTGCACTTTGTGCTAATTAGCAAATGTTAGCATACTAAGATGGTGAAGATGATACACTCAAAATGTGTACATAAAGTGTCCACAGAAGACTACATTCTGCCTTTAACTCAGTAAAATGCACTGTTTGCATGTGAGTCAAGCAGTGACAGTAAATACAAAATATTCCCCTCCCAGTCTCTCTTTCTCTCACCAGGCAGGTGTTTGTGCCCATGTTCACTCTCCCAGCCGCTGGACTTGATGTCTGCAAGCTCGTTATCCAGCTCTTTTTCAGGCTGGTGCTGAGGTCTGGGCAGGTGCTGTGGTGGAGTCACATGTGATAAGAGGATAAGATCAGACAGTGCAGTTTGCTGGGGATCATCCGTGCAGGGAGTCATGTCTTATCTTTTGTGTGTTTTTCAGCACAGCGCTCGGATTATCATGGAGTTACGTCAGGGCGATGGGTCAGAGGAGAGACACTTCAATCCACTCTAAGTGCATGAATCTTTGTCATGATTTAAAAGCACTTGGTGAACAGTGTCTAGTTTGTGCACGCAGCTACAGTTTCATCTATCCGAAAGTGTAAGGTTTTTAATGGATTTTCAAAAACTTTCATCACCCTTCATTCAGAACCAGCTCTCATTTTAATTGTTTAAAGAAACAAACCTGATGTTTGGGTGGGAGCCGCCAGGTGCCCTTATGGCAGTCCACACTGAAGCAGCACTGCCCGGGTATCCTGACCAGCCGTGGGTAGGGGCAGGATGGAGAGGCCGGTGGCAGCTTGTTGTTACAGAGTGGAGCGCAGCCAACAGCGCCATCAATGCAGGTGCACTGGTGTTTACACCCGGCACGGAAGCTCTCGCCATTCTGGTAGATCCTGCCGTTGTACTCACATGTGCGTCCCTCTGATTTTGCTGGAAAGACAAATTAAGAGATGCATCTCTCAGTTTCTACTGGACATGCTTTAAAGTCTAAAGGGATCAATTACTGAGCTTCTGCTTACAGCTGGTATGTTAACAAGAATTCACCACATGCTCTTATTTTAACAGCCCTGTTGAGTAAAGTTTCTCCTGACTTTACACACAAAACACACACAATGGCTTCACACTGTACCAGTACACAGAATCCCACAGAGGATCACTGAGATTGGGAGGTCACTCAAAATATGGGGACAGGAAGTGTGAAGGCTTCTTGTCTCCAAAGTATGGAAGAAGCCGCTAATAATAGTTTGTGGGGCAGCACTGGCATGGTGCAGAGGGAAAGTGTATTTATATCTCTGAAACCCCCTGTGGCTGTCATAAAACATCTACTACTCATTAAAATACCTGCTGTCTTGTTCCTGGATACGAGGTTGCATGTAGCTAAATCACTGAGTGGTGACTTTGAGTTTATAGATAAGAGGATCTTTTGTACGTTGTTGCACAGGTATCACTGCCTATGGGGCTTTTATAGCACATCAAATTCACCATATTCATTTTAAACATAAGATACTTGTCCCATGCATGTTAATGCTATGGCTTGAAATTAACAGGAGAGCTGTAGAAGGCAGCTATTCTCTATAAGTGAAATTCCTTTTCTTTCCTCTCTCACCTCGACAGATGCCCCAGGCCATGGTCACATCGTTGCCATAATTACACTCCAGCCCTTTGTGGTGGTCGCAAGGCCTCATGGGGCTGCAGTCCTGGTTAAGCTGCGCAGCACACACTTTGCAGCACCCACATCCATCTGGCACAGTACTGACTCCTGGAAGGCAAGCCAGGGGCTCTACAGGGCACTCACACACTGTTGGGCAGCTAGCAGTCACCTGGAGGGAGCAGAGAGCGAGATCACATCGTCAGAGATGACGGAAATATACAAGTCATGCAATATTTTCTACAGCTAAGAGGGGGAAAAAGAACCTCACAGAGGTTCAGAGAGAAAGAGCCTTGCTCAAAAAATCAGCGATCTACAATGCAGCTTCAGGAAAGGGCCACAGTGCTAGACACAGAGTCCTTGATTGGAAAAGTCATACACAGAATATCTGTATGGCAACAGGGTGCTAAAGTCATCACCAGGGGAGCTCAATGCACTAGTTCCAGCTTTTTCTTCCAACATCAAACTGTGAGGAAGAGGTGTGGTACATTCATTTTTGATTCTGTATGATCTCTTAGGATCCTCAGGGGTTTGTGACCGATTTTGAATTCTTCCACAGACAAAGCACTGCGGTATGCCTCTACAGTAAGTCAAGTCACTGCTGGCCAGTCAGCCCTGTGCGTCTAGACAACTCAGAGTTTGTACCCAGTCCCCTGCTGGCTCATGGTTTGAGTCATCACCCAGCACTAGAGCCAACTTGTTCCAGTTTGTAGGAATCAACATGTAACTGTGCTCTAAAAAAAAAGGAGACATGAGTAGACATGCTGATTATCAGACAAGACATCCACTTCAGAAGAACTTCATTATTATATAAGCAGTATTGGAGTAATAAATCCACCTAAACTCTGTACCAAACTTTTTATTGTATCCACTGTTTATGCTGACAGTGACAGTAATCACAGTTAATCTGATGTTCTATCTGTGAAGACTAAGTCTTTGAAGATGAAAAATGCCTGAAAGCTTATCTAAAAATACATTTGAGTTTTGTTTACAACAAGGGAGGCTGTTTATACCATGATGGTGAAAGTTGAGTCACATTTTACTGGCAACTACATCATCTATGGCAGATTACACATTGAATTAATATTAATCTTTCAATAAAATGCCTGTTAATAGACTTCTGGCTCACTCACAGCAACAGGAGCTTCTGTCATGAGAGAAACATCTTACCCGTGTGATGACGGCTGTTGTCAGTACGGTCAGGTAGATCAGAAAAGCCATGATTAGCCTGTGACAGGTTGAAGAAAAACAAGATAAAATTGTATATTCAAGCTACAATCCACTTATGATTGTTAGTCTAAAGTAGTTTCAAACTGAGTTTCAGGCTCTTTTCGGACCGTAGTCCATATTTTTCTACCGTGATTCGTGTCTAAACTCAAATTTATACTCGCTGGTGAGCTTCAGAGGGACCCCGCCCCTCTCAATACTTACAACCAATCAGTGTGCAGGCAACAGCCCAGACATCCCCCCAAGTGGGCGTGGTTTCACCACTGGGGAAGTTTGCTGATTGGTGGGCGTGTTTTGGAATGAATGCAGCCATTCATAAAAATCCCAGGGCCATTCTGTATTTATTTTATGGGTTAAAAATTAAAATGTAACAGCCGCTTTCAAGTCACACTTAGGCACATTCCTGCTTTTGTGGCCACCACTCTCCTAACACTAAGTAAATATATTCAGCTGGGCCAGACAGCATGGTAACATTAATAACACCTCCACCTCTGGGGCATAAAAAGAAAGGGGAGGGGGGCGGGGCAATATTCCCTCTGTTTTTCCAGACCAATGTAGGTGCCAGGACAGAAAATTAAAGTGGAGTGTATAAAGCAAATAGTAAGGTAATAGCAGTTGTCAGAGAGTGTGAACACATCCCTCTTTGTCTGTGTCTGTCTGAGAAAATGTATTTCCATAGTTTTTAAAGGTACGTTTTGATTGTTTTGCTCTCCCAATGTTTCATCTTGATTCAGGTGGGCTGGCTGTCTCTGAGTATTATTTCTAACCACATGGTGCTGACATGGGGATGATGAGGATATGATCGCTCGGAAAGAATGGTTGAGAAGGGTGAAAGCAGGATTATTGTTTTAAGGGCAGCTCATATGAGGGTTGGCCTCTTCCTCCTCGGCTGTCTTCCTTTCCAACCACAAGATTTCAGCCACACCTGCTTTTACACAGAGGCCTCGTTTGATGAAAGAAATGTGATAGGCAGAGGTTTGAAAGTTAAGTTTCTGCTATGAATGTCTTCGTATATGTGCAAAGTCCTGGCTTAGACCTAAAAGGCCAAACATCTTGGATGCTTTCCCACACGGGCTGTGGTGGTCTTAGGTGCTGGGAAATCTCTGTGCTGGTGAGTTAGTTAACTCTCATTCAGGAGGTAATGATGAATAACCCATAATCAATTTCAGGCATAAAGGTGATGATTCTGCCAACCTGCACATTACTGGCAGACTCCGCACAGTTGACATTAACAATAAAAGTTTCCTCCATATTTCATTTCCCGTTTTCCATATACAGTTTTTTTATTTATTTTTATTTATTTATTTTTTTTACAATTTTCTGTATCATCCTATTCAATCCTGGTCATTGGTTCTCTATTTGCTTTTGCCTAAATATTTTTTTCATAATGTTCCTTATTTAAATAATAAGTTTTCTCTGTTATTTAACTTTTTTTTTATTATGCTCGGTTTACGAAGACTATAACTAAGCATTTCACTGCACACTATACAAACACATCTTTGAGTCTTTAACCTAAATTAAAACATAAGATACAGGATACAAGTGTTCACAGTCCCTTGCCAAGCAATGCTGTTCAGTTTCAGAGTACAACAGTACGGCCCATGGTGATTTTGGCAGGTCTCATCAATATCCTGATTCAGTTGCTACAACATGAGCACTCCTATCAAAGGAGAGACAGATGGACATAAGTTACAGACACAGTAAACATCCCCAGCTGTTCATCTTTCCTGTTCCTCCCATAACTAAATCTTCACCAGCCTTTGGATGGGCTTTTGCACATTTTGTGATTCATCGAGCTGATTTCAGTCCTGACAAACCAATGTTTCCCTCACAAAAGCAAAGCATTAAAATCAGTTGTGAATTCCAAAATCAATGTTATTCCTTAAGGTGGGATTCCTTCTTTATCTGTGCCAACTTTGCCCTGGGGGAAAGGTGGTTGGGTCAGCACCTCTTAAGAAGAGAACTTTAGAGGTCCTGGTTGACAGATTTGTTACCTTTGGATAGAGCCAGGCTGTTTCCTCCTGTTCCCAGTCTTTATGCTAAGCTAAGTGGCACCTGGCTCCAGCTTCATATATTACGGACAGATATGAGAGTGGTGTTGAGCTTCTAATCTCACTCTCATCAAGAATATGAATAAACAAAACAAAGTCAGAACGTGTTCAACCAGTATTTTCCTTTGTTGAATCTACTTTAACGTTATATGAATGAAAATGGCTGGTCAGTGCTCTTGTACAACCAACGTTCACCTGTCTGACTAGGATTTCATTGAAAAACACACTGGAGGTTGTGGACTGGAGTCATGACTCTCAATTTAAAAAAGGAAACCACCTCAGGAAGCTGTCAGTCTTAGCTCTAATGCTGTGACCAAGGAGACAAAGTCATGGCCCATGTATTTTAATCCTCCGGTGGTCACGGTACAGGACAAGTTCTTAAAGTCCTGTGACTGCTTCTGTTTTCAATTTCTCCACTGATGCCGAACGAGAGGAACTCAGAAGTCTGGCAGAGATGTTAAGCTAATCTTGAGAGATGACGCAGAGTAGTCTTTTTTTAGACAGCAAAATTATTTACTGTATATGAGCAGTGAGATGTTTCTGGTTATTTGTATTCCGTCTGCATTGTTTTTACGGGGTATCAGACAATTATAAATTCTTGCACACAGGCTGGTCTCTCCTGGGAGATGTGAACAATTTTTCTCCAAGCTGAGATTCAAACACGAGTCTGAGTCACAGTTGGGTGACTTTACTCCTAATTTAATTAGGAATTCAAATTTTCATTGATGGTAGAAGTATTCAGTTCCTTTACTTAAAGTAATAGTTTGACATTTTGGAAAATATGCTTATTCACCGTCTTGCTGAGAGTTGGTTGAGAAGACAGATACTACTTTCTCACTCAGTACCTGTCTGTTCAGCATGACTAACATACGACTTGCAGCCGGTTAGCCGCATAGCTTAGCACAAAGACTGGAAACAAGGAAAAACAGCTAGCCTGGCTCTGTCCAAAGGTCACAAAATTCAGATTTAAGCACCTTGGAAGCTCACTAATTAACACAATTTAACTTGTTTGTTTAATCTATACAAAAAAAATGTAAAATGCTGGACTTTCCCCTGTCTTTGCACTTAGCTAAGCTAACCATCACCTGACTGTCAACTAGTCTTATTTCCTATTTCAACAATATTTCCATCTGAAATGTAGTGGAGAAGAAAAATAGATTAGAGGAAGACGGACATACAGTACAAGCACCTCGAGTTTTTATGTTTTGTGAACTGAGTGTGAAGTAACCCCAGCCTTTCTTTAGCTAGCTGATAGCCCTGAAGGAGCAACACTAACTTGGTGTACTGAGGTGATATGAAGATAACAATCTAATAAAAAGACTAGAAAACTAAGTGATGTCAGAAGGGGCGAATGGCTCGATATTGTGCTGTGTCTTTCACATGGCCTGTCATCTGATAGGTGCACACTGGGTGCAACATGATACACAAAAACATCAAGGGAGACACACCTTTATGAGAAAGGGCTGATGTAGGAAAACAGGAAACGTACAGAGGAGAGAACAGTGAATGAGAGTTGAGAGGGAGAGAAGACAGAGGAAAAAGCAGGGGATGGGGGCGACAGGTGTTTCATGGTAAAGGGAGTTTGTTTTTTCAAGGGGAGGAGTGAACAAGTACCCCGCTGCCTGGTCTGGTCTGTGCCGCTGGGGTTATGGCAGTCTGGCAGTATGGTATTTCATACAAAAACAGACTGCTGGTATTTCAGCCCATACCACTTTTAAGGTCACATGAACAAAATTACATGATACTACGGTCATCTGCTTTAAAATACATAAATACATATGGAGAGAGCTAAAGAAATAGATGTTACATAACATAATTTCAATGTAATTATCCAAATGGGAGCATGAAATTGAGACTTGCAGAGAAAAGTCATATCCTGAGAGAAAAGGGAGGAAGAAAGAGTGCAAGTGGTGGTGACAGGGTTATTAAACTGGTGTCTCCGCTGCTACAGTGGAAAAAAATGAAGTGTGTGGGAACCTCATTTATGTGTGTGTTTAAAGTGAAAGAAAGGATAAAGGTGTGTGTGTTATTTAAAAAGAAATAAACTAAGCCTAAGTATTGATTATCCTTGTCTATCCTTTGACTTTGTTCATGTGCATACACCAAACTCCTCATATAATATTATAAAGTGCAATGGGATATGTGCTAAATCTGGTGTTGCCATATGGTTCCTGTGTTAATGAACGGTGCAGTTCAAACTCACAGGGCATCGTAAAGTTACATAAGAGAGCAGGACTCAGCAGGCTTTCTGAGCAGAGAGGGGCCTGGCAATGACTTCACTAGACTCCAAGACAACTTCCTTGGAGCAATTTCTCCCCCTGGTGGAAGTTTTAGAAGAAAGTAATGGATAAAACAAACAACATAAACGTGTCCTCTGAATGAGGTTTCTTAGAACACAAGTGAAGAAATAAAATTAGATAAATTCTGCGATTGAATATTGTCAGAACTAAAACTAAAAGTCTAAAACTAAAAGTCTAAATCGAAAACTAACGTGAGTCTGAACTGACCATGCTGATAACAATGTTTCCATCTGTTTATGTATGTTGCAGATTTTAGTAAAGATATTCAAAGCCACACTGAGTTTTTATTCAGATGTGCAACAATTACTTCTCTCCTAAGTTGGGTCATAAACTCGATACTAGAGGCTTAGTAACTGCTAGTTAGATTTTTAACAAAAACAGTAACCAAAATTGGAGGCACCATGATTAATGTTGGGTATGGACTAAATGGAGTTCCAAAGTCCAAAGAAAATCTGCAGATAGTCTTCAAAATGCATGTAAAATAGAGTCAATTTGAACCTAGACTAATTTTCAACTGTAAATCACCACAATCTTAATTAATGGGTTAGACTGTGACTTTACATTCACAGGTATTTGAGTAAACTGTCTTATCTGTTTGATTCATAATGTCATCTTCAGTTATTGCCACCTGCATTTTGTCCCCATGCTTCACTGAATCAGATGTAATAGTATTGAATAATTAATCCTTCCTCCTCTACAGTTTTTTAAGATAAATGAAATTGTCCCTGTTAGCATGAATTCATATTTCTAGCGACTCTGGAATAAAATGGAGACTTCGCTCTTTATTTACTCATTGCCATGGTGAATTGTAGTTTTCTTTTCATTCCCCACTTACTAACTCAGTGAACACACTCAGGGTTGATTGAACTAGTTTTGATCAGCTGTTTAAGAACTGAAAACTCAGTTTCACATCTCAGGCTCAATGAACTCAGAGCTCCTGCCTCATCATCTCTCCTTTTCTTCCTAGTGTTTTCTTTGTGACTAACCTTTTGTTTCTTGTACCTCAGGATCACCGGCTGCTCCTCTGCTTCACGTTTGCCTTCTGCTGGACAGCCATCCATGTGTCCCCCATTCTCCACTACCCACGCCATCTCGTCTGACATTATTCACAAACTTCCTTCAGATGCCTTCAGATCGCCAACCCTAGTCATCTTTCGTTCATCTAATGCCCCTACACCATCACAACACTGTGGGCACAATGCATCATTTTTCACCTACTACCTCTATGATCCAAAAGAGGTGATAAAGCCGCTAAACTCCTCCACCTGCTTCCTTGACCCACAATTTTTTTTCAAAGAACCCTTTAGACCCATCTGTGATAAGCAACTACAGACCAATCTCCAATATCCCTTTTCCTAGTAAAATATTTGAAAAGGATGTCTACAAACAACTACATAATTACCTGTCCCTCCACAATCTGTATGATGTGGATCAATGTGGCTTCAGGACCAACCGAAAAGTAGTCAGTGGTCGAAAGATCAACAATGCTGCAAACAAACCTTTTATCCTAGTATTTCTAGAATGGACTGCAGCCTTAGATACTGTCAACCACAGCATTTTAATCAGTAAACTAGAAAATTCATTTGGGCAATGTGGCCGTGTCTTAAAGGGGCTCTCTTCCTATTTAACTGGCAGGAAATTCTCTGTGTCTCAACTTTTTAACAATTTCTTTCAATTATGACATTTTCTTTGAGGTCCCACATGGCTCAGTTGTGTATTTCACTTTCACATGATATCCTCAGCCCCATTAATGACCTTGACAACTGTATAAGTGGCATCAAGTACTGGATGTTAAAAAAACTTTTTGCAGTAAAAAAAAGACTGAGATCCTGTTGGAGAAAACCATATTATCATTATGATCTTACTGCAGTTTACATTCTCCCTGACACAAATTTAAAAAATGCACTGGACAATTACTTCCTGGGTGTATATGTGTATGTATATTTGTAAAATAATAACTGTATAGGCCATTTTTTATGTTACCATATTCAAATATATATCTATATATATATATGTTCTGTGTGTAGCATAAGGAGACTACAAACTTTCCTGCCCTATGGAATAAAGTTCCTAAGTTTTGTCTCCATGTGATGAGTCCAGGTTTTGTCAACAGTGCCAGTTCAGATCAATGTAAATGGGGGAAGAACAGGGCTGTGTTAAATATATAATGTTGCTTCTTATACTGCAAAACTTGGAAATTAGAGGGTCACGGCTCAGAAGGTAAATATTTATTTCTTACAAATAGTTTTTAAAAGACTTGTTTTCAGGATGAAAAAATTACATCAAATAAATGTGCACTTTTATTTTGCTGCCTCTACAAATTAGAAAATTCTTCCAAAGACAGCAGAACAAATGACAAACTACATAATCATAACTAAAAGCCAAATTAGCCTTAATATCTTTCTAATTTCAGCAGCACCCACCACTAGAAGCAAATAAGGTATAGCCATAGACTGGGTATAGCACAACACTTGATCATAGAAACTGGGCAAGTCCATAGGCTGTATGATCATGTATACTAGTTAAGATAAGACTTCACTAAAGGAAATTCAGGTGCAACAGCAGCAATTATATATGGTGAAAATGATTTATAGTTATTTATATGCATAATATAATGAGCAAAATAAAACAAGGTAATTATAGATCACATAGAAACTCTGCAAGATAAAATATAAGCCTTCAATGAAGAGTAAATTATGTCTAAGTGAGAGAAAAAGTCCTGAGTGGATCCAGAGGTTACTGAATCAGCTGTAGCTGTAATTTCCAACTTGTTTGACACAGTGGACTGGGACTCTGCTGCAGATGGCTGAACCAAAGCTGTGACACCAAGTGGTCCTTCATGTCCAGGTGAAACATCTTTGTCTGCAGGGGGGAGGAAAAACAGTAGCGCTTGCGTTAACACCTCTAGTGTAGACTTTAGGCCCTAATAGGCAGCTGAGCGGGAGCCATGAAACTGAGCATGGGTCAATAACAAACACAGGGACAGACGGGAAAACTCGAAACACAGTGAAGTGAAAGAACAAAAGGAGACACTATAGGAAAACACTGATGACAATTGCATTAATATGGTGATTAATGCGATCACTCCCTCACTCCCTGGTCAAATGACATCGACTGTGATGCAGGTAGTGTCCTCTGTTTCTGATTAGTGGATGTCTATCAGGCCTCAACGTTACATCCATATGTGTGTAGTAATAATACCATTCTAGGTCTGCTGGCTGAGACTTTATAGCTGCACTGTTATGTTTTTCAGAGCACACAAACACTGTAAACACACACCTGTCACCTGCCCAGCATGGTGCTATTACCCAGAAACACAGCTTCTACACCTTATCTTTACAGTTTATACATACAGCCCACAGCGCGGTTAATAGCCGCATTTAAAACCTGCATGTTCCGACAGTAAGGTAACTCATGCATGTCAGCAACAGTTAGCCTAATATAGCCAGTGGCAGTTCTAGACCAATTTTATTGAGGGGCCAGACTGGGGCCAGTTGTTTTGTCAGAGGGCCACATTTAATCAGAGACAAACGAGACAAAGTTCAAGCTTTCAAAATGTCCTGTTTAGTATATAATGTAATGTTTTAGAATGTTTCAGTAACTTACAGTTGTTTGTTTCAGTAACAGTAACATGGATTACAAGAACAAAATATTGTCTACAATTGTGCATTCAATTTAATTTTGTTGCAAGAAGATACGTTACTATGATTACTGTAGACCAGGGCTATTCAATTATAAATTCAATTGGGCCAGATTTCAAAACCAGGACACAGAGATGGGCTGGACATTTTCTCAGGAGTTGGGATCATTAAGATTTTATTGACACACTTGTATTGGTAATACTTATTGGTTTAGGTCTCTTATCAGTGCTCTTATCAGTCCTATTTATTACTAAATAATTGCAAAGATTATTTAAATTTTTTGTTGTTTCTAGAGCAGCAACACGGTTTACAGCAACAAAGTCACTAATATCTCACTGGAAACTATGGGGGTATTTATGTTTCAATATTATTTGTGTGAACAGATGAGCGATCTGTGTGTAAATGTGTGTGTGTAAACACTTTGCACAAACACAAAATATAGATTTGTAAACTCACAAAAATATTTTGCAAATAGAAAACATAACTGCAAATGCACAAATTCCACTAATAATAAAAATATCTGTGAATATATTTAATTGTTTACAAATAAATGAACCACATTTGTGAATATCTTCCTCACATTTACTACTTTCAAATAGGCATTTATGAGTCCAGTTTTAATTTACAAATTGTTGAAAAGTATTTGTGAATATCTTCCAAACATTTGTCACTTACAAACAGGCATTTGTGAGTCCTGCCTGTATTTGTCAATCTCAGTTCTTCACACACGGAGTTTTGAAACAAACTTTGGAAAGAAAATCGACTCGTGTCATTCGGCTGTTTTCGGGGACCACGTGACGATGCCGGCTGACGCCCGCTGAGGACGTCATTTCCACCTTTCAAAGTAAAACGGCCTCTGAACTGACTGAATGTGCCAACTTGTTGCTATTGCGAAGGAAATATCAGCTGCTGTTTCAACAAAATGTGAATGCAGACTGAAATTCAACCGTGTTGTTGTGTCAGGAGAGGCAGCGATTCAAAACAGCGGTGAGTAAGAAATAGTATAATTATATAACAATGTATTAAGCTATGAGCACAGGGAAAGTCCGCTAGCCGCTAGGCTAATTTCAGCAGTTTGAAAATGCCACAGGCTGTAGCTAATGATGGTGTTTAGCCAAAAGCAAACCATGACTATGAGCCGAATGTTTGTTAAAGGTTGGTGTGAGCTATGTTTGATGCATGTTAGTGGACTGTACTGAATTTGCATTCAACCATATACTTTGTTTCCTAGTATGGCCAAAAGCTGAGTGGACATCGGTGGTAGTTCCTGTCCTGTGGTCAGCTCCAGCATCAAGAAGTGGACAAAAAGAGCAACAACAACGACATTAAGAATTTATAAGTCCTTAAGCTATAAATCACAGTTTAATGCAAACAATATAATAAAATCCTTTTATAATCCACCCCACGTCTTGTTGTTTCTGTGTAAATATAGAGGAAGAATGTGTGTAACGTTTCCAACTGCTGGTTGAGGACTGTTTTGATGACGTAGCTGTCCTAATCGTGCCATTCTGGCAAGACCGTCAAGACCAACGGCCACAAGTTTCTGTGTTATTAATTTCTCCTGTTTTACAGGTCATTAAGTTACATAAAGCACAAAACCGATAAATAGGCATATAGTGAATCATAATACCCCTTGTGTTTAAGATGTTTTTTTTGTATTCACTGTGTAGTTTGATTATAAGTTACTTATACTCTGCTATGTGGACGCCTGTTAAGAATGACAGTAACGGTAAAACAAACATAAAAACGTTAAGGTTAGCTAGCTCCCAACTCCCTAGTCAATATAAATGCTCACCGTTAATGTTTCCAGCTCCTGTTCATTTGCTTCATTTTATATTTAAAGTGTTTTATTTGTATTTTGTTTATAAAAATGTGTTTTGTGTTGGTTAAAGGTTGTCCATATCAATTTAATGCTAAAAATGTCAATATCTTCTTGATTTGGTATTGCTGAGGGCCAGGGTCGATTTTCTTTCCATCGGCAGAAAGTTTGTTTCAAAACTCCGTGTTGTGGGGTCAGCCCAGCTGACGGTGAGTGTCCTGGTTTTACTTTTTTTTTCTCACTTTATTTCACCCATTGTTTTGCTCTGCCTGCCTCCCTGTGTTCTCCTCCTCTCTCCCTCGGCTCCTGAGCCCAGCCAACTACCTACACCTGCACCTCATCAGCCACCTCGTCAGCCTGCCACACCTGCCAGTAATCGACCTCATCCCTGCCTGTATTTCAACCCCGGTTCTCCACACCATCCTTGCTTGATCGTCATTGCTCCTTACCTGGTGCCACCTCTACGTCCAGGCTCTCATGTTCCTTGTTTTTTTTCTCATTTTCCCTGCATTTTGTCGCTCCAGTCACTAACCCTGTCTTTCTGTCTGTTTTCACTCACCCTCGTCATCCGTTCAGTCGGCTGGGCTCATCCTCCGGTTCAATCAAACTTTATTTCTAAAGTACATTTAAAAACAACCAGGTTGACCAAAGTGCTGTACATTGACATGAAATAATAAATAGACAAAATACAACACCAGACAAATACAACATACAGTTCTCATGCCAGATTAAAAGCCAAGGAATAAAAATGTGTTTTAAGTCGTGATTTAAAAACGGGAAGGCTTGGTGCCAGTCTGATATGGAGAGGCAATTCATTCCACAGTCTCTGTGCCTTAATGACCTTGAAGGAGCATGTGGCTTCAACAGATCAGTAATATATACTGGAGCTAGTCCATGAAGGGCTTTATTTGTAAACAATTAAATATATTAACAGATATTTTTATTATTTGTGGAATTTGTTTGTGTAGTTGCAGTTCTGTTTTCTATTTGCAAAATATTTTTGTGAGTTTACAAATCTTCATTTTGTGTTTGTGCAAAGTGTTTTATACACTGCTCAAAAAAATAAAGGGAACACTAAAATAACACATCCTAGATCTGAATGAATGAAATAATCTCATTAAATACTCCTTTCTTTACATAGTTGAATGTGCTGACAACAAAATCACACAAAAATTATCAATGGAAATCAAATTTATCAACCCATGGAGGTCTGGATTTGGAGTCACACTCAAAATCAAAGTGGAAAACCACACTACAGGCCGATCCAACTTTGATGTAATTTCCTTAAAACAAGTCAAAATGAGGCTCAGTAGTGTGTGTGGCCTCCGCGTGCCTGTTTGACCTCCCTACAATGCCTGGGCATGCTCCTGATGAGGTGGCGGATGGTCTCCTGAGGGATCTCCTCCCAGACCTGGACTAAAGCATCCGCCAACTCCTGGACAGTCTGTGGTGCAACGTGGCGTTGGTGGATGGAGCCAGACATGATGTCCCAGATGTGCTCAATTGGATTCACGTCTGAGGAACAAGCGGGCCAGTCCATAGCATCAATGCCTTCCTCTTGCAGGAACTGCTGACGCACTCCAGCCACATGAGGTCTAGCATTGTCTTGCATTAGGAGGAACCCAGGGCCAACTGCACCAGCATATGGTCTCACAAGGGGTCTGAGGATCTCATCTCGGTACCTAATGGCAGTCAGGCTACTTCTGGTGAGCACATGGAGGGCTGTGCGGCCCCCCAAAGAAATGCCACCCCACACCATTACTGACCCACCTCCAACCGGTCATGCTGGAGGATGTTGCAGGCAGCAGAATGTTCTCCACAGCATCTCCAGACTCTCTCACATCTGTCACGTGCTCAGTGTGAACCTGCTTTCATCTGTGAAGAGCACAGGGCGCCAGTGGTAAATTTGCCAATCTTGGTGTTCTCTGGCAAATGCCAAACGTCCTGCACGGTGTTGGGCTGTAAGCACAACCCCCACCTGTGGACGTCGGGCCCTCATACCACCCTCATAGAGTCTGTTTCTGACCGTTTGAGCAGACACATGCACATTTGTGGCCTGTTGGAGGTCATTTTGCAGGGCTCTGGCAGTGCTCCTCCTGCTCCTCCTTGCACAAAGGCGGAGGTAGTGGTCCTGCTGCTGGGTTGTTGCCCTCCTACGGCCTCCTCCACATCTCCTGATGTACTGGCCTGTCTCCTGGTAGCGCCTCCATGCTCTGGACACCACGCTGACAGACACAGCAAACCTTCTTGCCACAGCTCGCATTGATGTGCCATCCTGGATGAGCTGCACTACCTGAGCCACTGTGGGTTGTAGACTCCGTCTCATGCTACCACTAGAGTGAAAGCACCACCAGCATTCAAAAGTGACCAAAACATCAGCCAGGAAGCATAGGAACTGAGAAGTGGTCTGTGGTCACCACCTGCAGAACCACTCCTTTATTGGGGGGGTCTTGCTAATTGCCTATAATTTCCACCTGTTGTCTATTCCATTTGCACAACAGCATATGAAATTGATTGTCAATCAGTGTTGCTTCCTAAGTGGACAGTTTGACTTCACAGGAGTGTGATTGACTTGGAGTTACATTGTGTTGTTTAAGTGTTCCCTTTATTTTTTGAGCAGTGTATTTACAGATTACACATTTACACACAGATCACTCATCTGTTCACACAAATAATATTGAAACATAAATACCCCCATATGTGTTGGTAAAGTAGTTGCTTTTTACTCGCAAAGCTTTTATTGAACCATGTAGGCCTACGTACACTAAGGAGAGGAGTAGTCATGAATGTCGGTAATGTCCACTGATGACTTCGTTCTGTGTGTTTGCGCACGTGTGTGTGTGTGCGTGGAGTGGAGGCGCTCTGCAGACACATACAGGAGTGGAGAGGCTGCAGGTCCGACAGTAAGTGTTGAGCCTTGATTGGTGGTGATCGGTACAGCGCATGTGAAACTCAACAGAGATGAGAAGGAATGATATACAGTAGCTCACTCTTTAGATACTTTCATACACTATACATGTAGTGTACTTTTGTTGTCATATAGGCTATATTAGATCATGTGCTGGGCCGCATGGAGGTTGCTTCCGGCCGGATGTGGCCCGCGGGCCGCTAATTGATTAGGACTGTGTAGACTTTTCGTTCAGAGGGGGGGCCATACGGGGGTCCAAGGGCTGTGTTACTGGGGCACTGGCCCCTGGTGCCCCCCACCACAAACCGCCACAGAATATAGCTAACTTGCTAATGTTATTATATCTTACCTGCTGTACTGTCCGCTGCTTTCTCGTCAGATGGACAGCATTCCTTTCACTGACTTCGTGTGTGAGGCCACATGGACAGAAATGCTGTACACTTTTAGTTATGGTATTGTAAATGATAGTCCTCCCTCACATGCCCACTTCCTCTGCTTGCTTTCATGGCAGTGTGCTGGCAGTCAGAGCTCCCCCTGCAGTCCATAAAGTGCCTCTGCGCCTCAGCCGTTCCAAACCCTCCCTGCAGCCTTTGGGTCACGCCTCCTCGTTTGCATACAGGACTCAATCCTCAATCCCCAAATCCCCAAAACCCCAATCCCCAAAACCCCAATCCCCAAAACCCCCAATCCTAAATCCCCAATTTCCCAATCCTAAATCCCCAATCCTAAATGGCTAAATGACTAAATGCCCAATCCTAAATACCAAATTCATTTTCGACTTCGACTTTTAGTTTTTGATTTCGACTTTTAGTTTTCGACTTTTAGTTTTAGTTCTTACCCAATAATCCCTTGCATATTTAAGGCACAAGGTGTGACTGCTTTATCCCTGGTAGAACATCAATCAACTTTTAAAACGTTGCCTCTTTTCTGTATCAGCTTGCCTTGCAGTGAAGGCTGTGATCTTTCCTTGAATCTCCAGAAGATGGAGCCAAACACTACCATATAGAAACCAGTTTAAGCCTCCATGGCAGAATTTGATCCAATCTTTAGCAGAAAGCTCTGAAGTCCACATTGGCAGTGTAGACACACAAAAGTCCAAACGAACACCATGAAACTTGTTGGTTTTCATAACTTTTTCCATGACTTCGGTGTCAGAGAAGTGTGTTTATACAGCAAATTTTTCACTCCAGCTACACCAGCTTATTTTACGTCTCGCACATGTTCTAAAATATTTGCAGAATATCATCCCAAGCCATTCATGGGTCTACACGATCATGGGCATGTCAAATGATTTCATGAGAATACCCACTTCTGCACCACTTAAATGTTTTGTCGATTTTATCTTGCACTTGTCCACCCTCACTGATATTTAATTAAACTCAACAGACTGTGAGTAGGTGGTGGAGCTGAGGGATACTCTCTTCCTGTCTTTCTCCTCATCTCCGGTATTTTTATCTGTCTTTTTCTCTTCCCCCTTTCTATTTTTTCCAATTAATCTCTTTTCACTAAACCTCCCTGACTCCCTCTCCTTTCTGCCTCTCTTCTCTTATTTTCCTGTTCTTTTCCCCACTCTCTCCCTACCTTTCTCCAGACTGTGACAGCAGGCCACAGATGCATTTGAACCTGGTTTTATTCGGAGCACGCTCTTGTCTCCCATCACCCATGGTCTCCTGATTAGACTGCTCCCCCCCTTAGCAGTCACTGGGGATCACAGCAGCCGAATGACAGGGAAGAAAAAGCTTTTCCCAGGCAGAGTAGCAGCACTGCCTGAAGACTTGTAAGCCAAATATCCTGCTCATATGGGAGGTGGGGATTACCCTTTGGCCAGCTGCTAGATCCTTCGGTTCCCAAATGGAGGTACTGGGTTTGAAAAGCACAAATATGGATTGGTTGTTCCACACAAGCTACTGAAATGGTAGATGTATAGAGTATGTCAGGATTTTAGCCTGTGGTACTTAATTCCCAGTTACATGAAAATCTATGAAATTACACTAAAAAACAAATCATTTCATGTTGGTTGGAGACATACACTGGCCTGCTGGCAACTGTGCTGCTCATGCTGTTCAGGAAATGTGTCGCCCCTCAGCTATCTTAACGCTAGGGTCAGTATGGAGATAGATTTATCTCAATATTTTTTGTGTGAATAGATCAACAATGTGTATAAATATGTAATCTGTAAATATAAAACACTTTCCGCAAACTTGAAAATATTCTATAAATATAAAACAGATCTGCAAATACACAAACAAATTACAAATAAAAAATATCTGTAAATACATTAAATCAATTTATTTATAAATCCAAAGCATTTGTGAATATCTTCCCCAACTTTCACAACAGGCATTTGTGAATCCATTTTTTATTTAGCTATTTAGATGCTGTACAACTAGAACAATGCAACTTCTTCAGTTACCGTCAAAGACCTTAACCAGGGTGCTGTCACTGTGTTATTGTACAATGGTTAATGTAACGTAGTTAATGTCTATGTAGAAATGCGTTGTATTTTGATAGCTCGTTACATAGTTTCAGTTAAGCTACATTAACTGTTATAAGCTATGACAAGCGACAGACCCTGGTTAAGGTCTTTGATAGTATGGCAACTTCAGAAGCAGAGCAAGCCCACTGCTTAAGGGACCTGAAAGTTGCCCATGAGCATCCTCATGCCTTTCATAGTCAAATAGAAATGTATACGAAAGTGTGTGCTAGATAATATACAGTACATATGCACAACAAATTAACATGCATTAATACTCACTGTGACCCCTTAACATAATAAAATAATGAATACACATTACTTATTGCTGATTATTAAAAACCAGCTCATAAGACTGTGGGCTCCTGCTTTGATGGGCGTAGCCTAAATAATGATCAGCAGGAGATCACATGCAGTGTGATACAAGTGGATTTTTGTTCAGACTCGTGGAAAGTTTGTCTCAAAACTCTGTCAGTACAATACATATCCACAAATGTAGAATTAAGATTGACAAATAAAAACTGGATTTACAAATGCCTGTTAGAAACATGTAAATGTTAGGAAGATATTAACAAATGCTTTTCATTCATTTGTAAATTAATTCAATGTATTCACAGATTATTTTTTATTTGTGGAATTTGATTATGGATTTGTAGATCTGTTTTATATTTGCAAAATACTTTTGCGAGTTTACAAATCTTTTTTGTGTTTGTGGAATGTGTTTTATATTTACAGATTACACATTTACATATGAATTGTTGAGCTGTTCACACAAATAATACTGAGACAAATTTATCTCCACAGATTAGCCATTAACTTACCAGCCTCAAATATAAAGTATGTACTGCATATAGGCTGGGTGTTTGGAGTCTATTGTAACAAGAACAATGATGGGTGGATATGTCCTCATGTGAATTTAGACCACATGCCTTTCAGCAGTCTTTCAGGTTGCACTCATTACAGCAGAAGTAGAGAATGTACTGTGCATAAACTGGAGAGAGTAGAAAATGTAGTGTAATATACAAACTGCTGAGGCCTATGCCGTTTATTGAAGTCTAAAAGCTGCAGATGCACCGCTATCTACATGAATAACAGTGGATTTCGTCCACAGCTTTGACCTCACTGCACGGTCCCATAACACTCATCAAGAAGCCGCAGCAGCGTCTCTATTTCTTGAGGAGGTTAAATACAGCCCACCTCCCCCCTAAGATCCTGGTTGACTTTTGTCCGGATGCTCTCTGCCTTGCAGTGGGATGTTAAAACTAAACAGCTCACCATCAGTGCTCAGGTACCATCCATTCATAACAGCTACCGTGAACGTCCGAGAGGAACAGTTAAACTGTTTGCTACCCTGCCTTCAGGGAGGCAATACACGTGTCTAATAGCCTGTACATCCGGGATCAGAACCAACGTTTTTCATTAATGCTGCTGTTTAATTGAACACTGCTAGCCATCCCTAGAACCATGCTAGCGGTAATGTAAGTCTATCACTCGTTCAGTCTACAACTTTGGTCCAGACTGAACTATCTCATCATCTAATGAAGGGATTGGCATGAAAGTTTGTGCAAACCAGTGGTGGACCGTAACTAAGAACATTGGCTCAAGTATTGCACTGAAGTACAAGTTAGAGGTATTTGTACTCTACATGAGTATTTTCATTTCATGCCACTACTTCTACTCCACTACATATCAGAGGGAAATATTGTACGTTTTACTTCACTACATTTACATTTTAGCTTCAGTTACTTTACAAGTAAATTTTTTTTGCACACAAAACATGTGAATAGTTAATAAAATACATATGATGTTTGGTTATAAATTAAACTACCCAACATTTTATACAAGTACAGCTAGTACATTAGTGGGTATAAATTGAATTTTATTTTAAATTGAAATTTAATAGGTAACTAGTCGTTTTTAATGTAAAAACATTTCATGGTCCCAGCTTCACAAATGTGAAGATTTGCTGCTTCTCCTTTTGATTTTTTCAATAGTTTTGAGGCTTTGACTGACAAAACAAGCATTATGAAGGTGTCACTTTGGACTCTGGGTAATTGTGACAACATTTCTCACTATTTTCAGAAATTTTACAATTAATGGAGAAAGTAATCAGCAGATTCATTCATAATGAAAATAATCATTAATTTCAGTGTGATACTAAGATTGTTCAACCTCAACCAACAACAGTCAAATCAAGTCCTGCTTTTACATTAATGCATGAGTGATAATAATCTAATGATATAAGATATAATAGGAAAACAGTAACAGATAGTACTTTTAATAAGTAAATTTTTTTACAGTGAGGTGTACTTTTACTTAAGTAAAGGATCTCAGTACTTCATCCACCACTGGTGCAAACCTTGTCCTGAGAGGATGAGAATTCCATGCCTCCTCTCCTTCTTTTCCGTACTCCTGAACCCCCCTCCTCACTCTCCATCTGTCCTCAGCTATGCATCACCCACCCTCCCTTGGTACTTCCCTCCTTTTCCCCTTCCTCATCCATCACTTCCCTCCCACCAGTTCCTCACACGCACACACCCCTTTCTCCCTTTGCGATACAAGCTGCCAACGACTGCAACCTTCCATCAGCAGTGGCAGACTAACACAGATATCTCTGCAACATTTACAGATAACCCACATCTTTCTATCCACCCCTCCCTCTATCCTTCATTTCCCCCTCCCCTGTTTCCTCTTCCTCTGCTTGCTTCGACCCCGATGGAATGAGGATCTTATAAAGATGAATGACGCCTCTCAGCTTCCTTAACCTACTCCCATCTGCTTCCTTCGCAGCTGTGGTAGGGAATTCCCTTGGAATTCTCCCGTTCCTCAGTGTGTCTTGCCTGACAGGTTCGCAGCATCATTGTTTTGTCCACAAGGAAAAGTGAAAAAAGGTCTACACATGGTTGGCTGGAGTAGCTAAAGACATTAGGCAGCCATGATGTCAATTCAGAGGCTTGAAGCTCATCAGATTTCAACTACGGAGGAAATGAAGTGAGAATCTGAAGAGGCTTTTTGATAATCAAGGTTATTGAA